AGAAAAAAAAAAAAAAAAATAAAGAACAAGGAAAGATTTTGTAAGCTGGGTGGTGGCTGACTGCACCCCAGCCTGGTACCAGCTGAGATGACAGCATTTACATTTTACATTGTCTCTGTATGTCGAGTGTCATTGTGGTGGGTGAGATTCACAGGGAGGCACTGCGGCTGTGGCACTTGGGGATGAGCTGCTGTTGGGATGAAACACTGCTGCTCTTCATTGCTGCAGGGAAACGTGGGTGAGCGGAGGCAGGAGATGTGTTCCGAGGATGTGGGGGCAGAGCAGCACCCAACCTCCTTTCTCACACGCCTGCAGCTCCCCTTCCTCCAGCCCCAGGCTCCTGCCTTGCCACAGCCCCATCCAGCCTGGCCTTGAACACTTCCAAGCTGCGAGCAGCCACAGCTTCCCTGGGGCCACCTACCCGGCACGGTTTATCCCCCCATCCCCAGCCCGAGTGGCTGGTGATAGTGGCTGGTGATAGCAGCTGGCTGTGGCCTGGACCATACTGCACCAGTGTCCCCATTCCAAGCATGGCTTGGACTGGGCAAGCTCAGAGATCCCTGACAGCTTCAGCTGGCCTGGGGTTCTCTGAAAATTCATCTGTTTGCAGGGAGTGCAGCTTCTCTGGAGAGCAAATCTCCTTACAGACCTCCTGTCTCCCGAGAATTACTCCAGCCCAGGGAACAGAGTAAATCATCTGCGATGTGATGTATTGGCTTGTCCTATGATCAGCCACAGCTCTGGGCCCTTTGGCCAGGCGAGCCCCTGTGTGCTGAGCGTGACACAGCGGCAGTCAATCACAGCCCTCTCTCTGCAAGCATGCACAAACAGCTGATACGGAAATGTTTTATCTGAGCTCTATTAAATAATACAGTGGCCCTCTTGCAGCCTCCTGCCTTATCTTCACTGAGTCTCCACCCCTCCGTCTTTCCGCTCAAGATTCGTTCTCTGCAGCCGTCTGCGTGCTGTGCAGGAGCTCACTGCAAGCTGCTCTCCGTTGGCTTTCGCATCCAGAGAGCTGCAGCACCCAGAATGAGCACCACCGAGGTGTGGGGTGTGAATTTACAGCCGTGTGGCTAGGTGAGAAGGCAAGTATTCAGCTTATAGAGGTATGAGACCTTGTTGGAGTTCGATATCAGCAGCTCTGGAGAGGCGTGCTCTGATTTGGGTAACTGGGACTGTCACCTCTAACCCATCAGAGGCTGTCAGTGAGAAGAGGCTGAAGAAGCATTGCAGAAAGGTTGTTTGCTTTTGTGGGGACAGGTGAGGCGTTGGATGCAGAGAGTTGAGTATTTTTTTCAGGAAACCTCATCCTTCCTGAATCTGCTGTCTGCTAAAACCCTTAAAAAGCCAATTCACCAACAGTTTCCACCTGAGAAATAATCACTTGTATGAAGACTTAAGCTTCTCATTTCCCACAATGATAATCCTTCATGAAAATGAAATAAGGATTTCTACAAAGTTTGTGGAGGCTCTTGGAATAATAACATCCAGCAACAAAAATGCTGCATTAATGAAACAAAACTTCTGTCGGTGCTTGCCCAGAAAAACCTTACCTTGCAGGTTACTGTAATTAGAGCTGATTTTATAAGAAAAGAAGGTTACCAGCTGCATATTAAAACTGCTTCTGACTGAAGCTTAGGGTAACATTTTCAGTGAGGGAGTCTTGCTTTCCATCTGTACTTGGAAGCATTCAAGTGCCACTGTTAAACTGCTCCTGTCTTTTTTGTTAAATATAGGTACCCTCCTTCTGTCCCTTTCCCCAACCAAACTCAACTTATAATTGATGCTTACCAAACACAGTTAAAAACATAGCCATTTCCGTGGCCTCCCCAGAGGCTTAGCACACTGCCAGGAAGATTAACATGGATGAAAAAGGAGCGTCTCTGCCTATGCTGTTGCCTCAGAGAAAGCTGGTGGCGCCTGGATGGGTATAGTGGGATGATGGTCATTACTGTAGGTTACAAATGTCGGTGGATTAATAGCATCGGCTGCTGAAGTATCGGCTGAAGAAAGCACGGTTTGAGGCTACCACTGAGAGAGAGGAGATTCCTATTAAACCAGACTCAGCTCTTCCCAAAAGTCACAAAAAAAATCAAGTGAAAGAAAGCAACTGAGCAGAGGGGGAGACTGGCGCTGAGATATGGAGAAAGCACAATTCTCTTCTAATGCAATAATAGTAACACAAATACTTGAAAATACTTCTCTAGTGGCTAAAAAGAGCATGCTGCCTTATTTATCATCATTGCCAGCACACATACCACTACAAAGATAGTTTTCTTTCTTCTGATTGCTTCGCAATTACAGGTAAAAATCATCAGGTAATTGGATTTTATACGCTCTCATCCAAAGGCTTTGGAACATGATTATCTATGGTGATTGACATATCCCAAGTGGTGAGTTATTGCATTAGAGACACGTATGCAGCTCTTACGTGCAGCCAGTCAGAAAATGTGTGTCTGGCACGGAGCTGCGTAATTTCAGTCCGTACTGGGAAATGGTGCAATCTAGGCTGAAACCTGGCTGGAACTGAACAGATTTTGAGAGCTTCTATATTAGTGGCTGAAGTAAAAATAAGCTGTACCCACTGAAAGGCTCTAAGTTATGAGAGATAACTTAATAAAGAGGTATTGGTTTATTTGAACACCCCCCACCCCCTCATACATCCATATGGTGCAACCAGCTCTCTTTTCCCAGTTCTGACCTGCAGTCTTTGTGCCATAGGTTCACAGGAGCAGACTGGGAATATGTCCCGCTCAGAGGCTAGCTCTGCAGATCAGGAGTATCTGCCTGAACTTGGGTAGCTCACTTCACTGTAAAACAAAACAAAATTTAAAAGCACAATCAACGATGCCACACTTAGAGAAATCAGGAGCATAACTTCCACTGCAAGTTAATGGCAGTTTACCTCGGGTTGGGTCACTTCAGCACCTCTCTAAGCACAGCCACCAGAGAACGCTCTGGCCATGTGGCAATTTCACATCTGCCAGTCTAATTAAAAAAAAAAAAAAAAAAAAAAAGAAATCACAAATCTCAAGTATACTGCTGGAGCTTTTAGCTGGAATGTGCCATTCACTGGCCTCTGCCAGTTCATATTGCAGGAGGCTGGCAGACCAAGGGAGCTGGAGCAGCATGAGCCGTGGGGAGGGCCGTGAGGCTGGACCCACGCCACTGGAAGGGCTGACAGGTACGTACCAGGCACAGGGATTGCCGAGAAAATGCACGCCTCAGGGATGTCCTCATTCAAACCAGCACGGGCTGCTGCTGGTGTGGGACGTCCTGAAGGCTTCGTAATGCTGAGCAAACGAACAACTGTGCCTTACCAACTGCCAGTAATGGCTGAGCTTTCAGCAAATCATAGCTGGTGTTCAAATAAACTACAGCTCCTGTGAAGAAAATGAACATTGCAGTTTCAGATTTAAAAAAACAAATTACTAGGGAGGTTGCTTTGACAATAAATGAAGGCAACCTAAAAAAGAAAACGTGCTTATGTCAAGCCTTAGGAAGCAGGCATGAATTGGCTAAATGATAGTCACACATTTCAGAAGTCCAGCTGTGCAAACCATTTCCCATGTATGTAATTTATATATAAGACAATGTTATTTTCTTCCAAGTACAGAAAAGTCCACTGAAATTTCTGAGGTGCTATTTTTAAAATGGCATAGCCATAAACCTGCCAACTGTTGAGTAATGCAGACCGTCTTTTAAAAATGGCTCTTAGCTTCAAAAATAAAAGCTGGCAGAAAACACAACCACTAGTTTGATGATGAGAACGGAGATAAAAAAAATAGTGATGGGTCTCATCAGCCTGGGTGACACACATCCCTTCATCCACAAAACCTTTTCTTACAAAATGCAGAAATAAAAGAAACCGACCTGGTGGGAATAAGGGCAGTGAATCTTTTAACAGCTGTCTCCAAGGGAGCAAGCACAACAGATTAACCTTATAAAAGCAAATCTCCCGTACTCGTTAAGGAATAGTCTCCAGCATAGCTTTTGCCCAAGCCCAGTTTGTAATGAACAGGATCCCTGCACGCAGCCAGCTGGCTGATGCCAGCATATACACACACACAAAGAGGTTATATAGAGATCTGTATATGTAAAGGTGTATGTATATGTAAGTAGAAGATGTCAGTAACAGAGTGAGTCTCCCTGCCACCTTTGCTAGGAACCTTTTAGAAGGAAAGAATATAATCTAGAAACAATATTATGAGAAACTTTTATTTGTTGCGATTTGTAGCTTCACACAAACACTGAAATGAAGAGGAAAGCATTTCAGATTTTCAATCGGCACACAAAATGCAGAAGCACATAAAAGATTTGTCAGTATTAACAGCCAGAGCATGAATCATGAGATCTGCTATGGAAGGAAAATTAAGCAATTTTTAAAAATAAAAAGTAATAAATTAGTTCCTTTTAAATTACATTCTATTCTATATGTACAGATGTACATTTTCTGTTGTTTCCCATTCTTGTATTTAGTACAAACATATGGCAAAGGCTAATTTGTCTGTTAAAATGGATAAGAATCAGACAATAGTTCTGAAGAGCCACATCAAATATGTTTTGAAGTGAAACAGAATCTTTCCATCACCCTCAAGAGAAGCAAAGTCAAGCCCAAACTGCAGAATCTTATGGATACATGGTGGGGAAGCCACCCTCATTCCTAAGCTTTATATTTGCTAGGCTGTTGTAAAATCCTATGTTAACAGCAGGAGATCTGTAAAAATTCATAGAGACAGCAGTAGGTAGATAGAGATCCCTAGTTAAAGGGATCTTTAAATTTAATTTAAAGCAAACAAACAGCAAAGAAATATTTTGTCTAACCAGGCTAGAAAAATCAAAATATGCCAGTTAAGTGAAACACACTGAGAACAGGACAAAACTTCTGTATTCCTTACGTGCCATTCTAGTTGGTCACTGCTTATCTCTATCCTTCATTATATCAATGTAGTTCAGCACTTCTAGAGTCCTTCTGCCAGCCAAACTCAGATACTCGGCTTCAGAAGAAAACGCCGCTATTCCTGCCGCCCTGCCTGTGCCCGCAGGCTGCAGCACCTCATGTGTGGGCATTTTGTGCCCTCCAGCGGTGCCTGGGCTGCGGGCAGCGGGGAGGGAGCTCCCACAGCTGCACACCTGCATGGTGCCACACTGGGTGGCAACATCCACTTTCTCGGCTTCTGTAACGGAGCGCTCAGTCTGCGACCAAACATCACGCCTGGTACTGCAAGTGACATGCTCCCTTTTAAGGGTTTGGTGTAATGAGCTGCCCTCAGACCAGGCAGTGTGGTTTTTATTCTCCTCCTCTGTGGCACATAAAATCGAGTCTTTCTCCTGAAGATGCTTTGCTTCTTCTCTAATCAAAATACTGCTGGGCTGGAGAGGCACCGTTCTGGTACGGGAGGTCTTGGGGGGCTCTGTGCTTGCTGAGGCTGAGACTAAGTTGGCATCATCTGTCTTCAAGGACTGTTCCTTCAGATATTCCTTCTTTTTGGCTGTATCTTCCTCTTCAGACTGTTTGAAGAGAATTGTGTGAACACAACTGTTTAAATAGTTCAATAACTAACGACTAAGTTAATGACTAATAACTAAGTTAATGAAATAAACAGAAAGGCCAGAGCTGTCTAGTTTTGATTGTTTGAGGGTTTGGTTTTTTTTCCCATTCTTTCTCCAAGGGTGTACTCCTGGACTTTGTTGAAGAGAAGGTGGGTAAGGTGGACCTTCACTCTCACACGGAACTTATATTCTTACATTGTGGCATTTTTGTGTTCAAGAACGGCTGATAACACACAGCGTGTCAAATCCTCCTGCCTTACAGGCATGTAAGGTAAGGCAGCTATACATCAAGGAAGAACGCAGAAGCTTGCTTAGCATCTTCCAACAGTCTTGTTACTGTAATTCCACAAAGCCTGGCGTTATTGAGAGACCAGACCACGTGTCTGTTCAACTACTTAGGAAAATGTACAGCTAATCATTTCTTGTCTTCCTCACACATGAAGTTACCTTGTGCAAAACAAAACCATAAACAAGATTCCAGCTACATCCACCCTTAGATGCACTCAGGCACATACAGATATCATTCAAATGAATCCCTGCAGTACTCACTGTGTCAGGGCTAGAGCTGAAACAACTCTCTCTCTGCCTCGGAGAGTAACTGGGAGATTGGCTGCTGAGTGATGACTCCACATCTGAAAAAGCAGATGAAAAAGAAAGAAAGGTTATTCACCAAAAATTCCCCATACCTCCAACTCTCAAGTACAGCATGTAGAATTAAACATTACTACTTCTGATGCAGTTTTAAGACACTCTTTAAAGAATAAAGTGTTAACAAGCTCAATCTAGTTCTTGGCAATAGCCAATTCTTCTCCTCTCAGAACAACACATCTTAACAGAAAGTGTGAGCTGGGTGCCCCAAAGCTTCAGCCGTGCTGTTAATCAGCAGCCTGCACCAGCAGCAGAACTGTGCTACCCAAAAGAAGAAAGGACTCTGCAGAGCAAGAGCAGGGAGAGAATACAGCAAACTCCCTGCACACATCGGCTGCCATACAAGTTACGTCTTTTTCCCTTGGAGGCCCTTGGGGGATCTTCTGCTCTGAAATGCAGCCAGCACAGCTGACCCCTACAGCTACAGAGCAAAAAGGACGTGGGAACTCCCTGCCGACTCCCCTTACTCTGTCCACATGTGGGATGACAGCATATAGTCTAGTGGAAGAGAATAAAGATTAGTAAAGACTGGACCAGTAAAATGGCACATCTCAAACATCTAATGAAGATATTGATTAATTGAGAAAATATGTCCAAAATTTTTTCTAACAGCGGAGGTCTGCAGGAATAGAAAGAAAGAAAATTACTGGCATTTACTTGGCACTTTTACTATATGGTGATATTAGTAAACTTGAGTTGCGGTGTTCAGATTAATACTCTCGATCTCTCTTGTGGATTTATTTTCATTTATTTTTTTAGCAGTTATCCCTACATTCAGAGTTGGCTTTTCAGTTTAGGGAACAACTTTGGAGGAAATGGGACAATGAAAAATATGTGTGTGATACTCACCAGAGAGAAGTTAACCTGAATTTATCTCTTCAAGGAAAAGCAAACACAGATAGTTCTTAGTTACCTGGTAATGCTAGATGTCTTTATACAGTGCTGCATGAATTAAAAATACAATCCCTCATGAAATGTAACATCCTGAAAAGATCAAAGCACTTCTCCCTGGCTTTAAAAGTAACTGTTTCAGTTTCACATGTAGAGAAAAATCTGATATTTTAACCAATAACGTGTAAATGGTACTAACCCTTCTCTATCTCCTGAAGATTTGAACTTGCTCCAAAGTTACACTCT